TCGGGGTCACGGAGACCGGGTCAGCTCGGGGTCACGGAGACCGGGTCTACACAGGGTCACGGAGACCGGGTCAGCTCGGGGTCACGGAGACCGGGTCAGCTCGGGGTCATGGAGACCGGGTCTACACGGGGATACGGAGACCGAGTCAGCTCGGGGTCACAGAGACCAGGTCAGCTCAGGGTCACAGAGACCGGGTCAGCTCAGGGTCACAGAGACCAGGTCAGCTCGGGGTCATGGAGACTGGGTCTACACGGGGTCATGGAGACCGGGTCAGCTCGGGGTCATGGAGACTGGGTCAGCTCGGGGTCATGGAGACTGGGTCAGCTCGGGGTCACGGAGACCGGGTCAGCTCGGGGTCACGGAGACTGGGTCAGCTCGGGGTCACGGAGACCGGATCATCTCGGGGTCATGGTGTCTGGGTCAGCTCAGGGTCACAGACATGTGTGGGAATCAATGAAGAGTCACAAAAGTAGGTCCTGATAGGCATAGTGTGTTACTGTTGGCATCATTAACAACGAGGGAAACTGAATGTGAAGGGACAGCCTGCTTCTCTCCTTTAAAAATCATCTTTCTCGGGACAAAGGTTTCTCTGACAAGGCCTTGAGAAAGTGTTGGTGAGGCACCATCTTGAACTGCTGTAACCTACCTCCCGGAGCAACACCCACGGTGCTGTTAGGGAGGGACGGAGGCTCACTACATTGACCCAGTAGCAGTGAAGGAGACTTTCATTGCAATTGGTTATGGGCAGAAACTTGTAATATTAGGAAAAGTGGTCCGTTACTGTCAGGGCATTACACTGGGCGGAGTTAATGTGGGAACAGTAACAGATCAGAATAGACTGTCTGTCTGTCCAGGCTGACCCCCACCAGGTTAAACCTGTATCAAAATACACACACCCCAACCGGCACACACACAGCTTCAAGTAAATTAAAAATTGGGAGTAAAATCTTGGAAATTCTTCTTGGATCCCCTTAGTTTAAGCTGAGTCTGGATCTCCTCCCAACCCAGGTAAATCTCCAGCTCACAAAAACCTTCCAAGATATCCACACTTCTCCTTTTTTGAGCATCTCTGAGATATTGATTTCTGTGTGGTTGGTGACCATGTCTTCAACCTGAGTCTCTGAAACTCCCTCCCTAAACATTTCCACCCGGCTACCTCTCTCTATCTTCCTTTCAGACCTCTGACCAAGGAACTGGTCCATTTATCATCACTTTATATGACATGCAGTCAAAACATTTCCTGATTTATCCTCTGGTGAAGCAGTTGGGTTAGGGTTAGGGTTATTTACACTGCATTTAAGGCACTATATAAATGCCTATTGTTACTGGGAGAGCCTGAGATAGAAGAAAGGACTGCTTCAATGTTCCAAAGCATTGTGATCCTCAGATTCCACGCTTACCTTCAGTGAGCCGGGCCTTGCCACCAGTGGGCTGGCACAGAACTGTGGAGCAACCAACACACAGCACCACCGTCTGAGCATGGCTGAACACCGTTGTGATCTTGTAGCAGCCTAGAGAAACAAAAACACAGTCACTCATTTACCCCAACAGCAGCAGGCACTGCTAAAGGGGCAAAGTTGCTGCTAAAGGGGAACAGACACTGCTAAAGGGG